AGTCAGGGGACAAGAATCTTTCTAAAAGAACAAAAGTGGCATCACAGTAAGGAGAAATAATCTATGAAAAAGACTTAAGTGTAAACTGTATGCTGAATGGCTGGGAAAACAGAATAAATGAATGAACAGTCCATTCATTATCTTCCTATACTGAAATGGGGGCACATGAAGCCAACAAAACTTAACAATGCTTTTCACAGGGAATATCTAATACCTCTTGTTTTAATCTTGTGCTCTCCAATCAACTGATGTTTAGTTGGCTTATGACCATACTTTTCAACCTTTGTTTACTCAACAATTATATCTTGAATGCCTACAAATGCCAGACACTATTCTTGGCAATTGAGATACACAGATAAACCAAAAAGACAAAAAAAGAATTCATGTGCTGTGGAGCATAATTGCTAGTGTGGCAAGAAATAAGTAGGTAAATGATATAGTATAACAGTATGGAAATCAGCTGTGGTGGCACATGTGTGTAAATCAAACTATTCAGGAAGCACTGGCAGGAAGATCAAGAATAGGAAGACAGCCAGGCTCTGGTGGCTCATACCTGCAGTCCTAACTACTTGAGAGGCTGATATTGGAAGGATCAAAATTTGAGGCCAGCACAGGCAAATAGTTCACTAGACCCCATCTCCAAAATAACCAAAGCAAAATAGACTGGAGGTGTGGCTCAAGCAGTACAGCACCTGCTTAGCAAGCATGCATGAAGCCCTGAGTTCAAACACCAGTTCCACCAAAATAAAATAAAGTAAGAGTCCAAGGCCAGTCTGGGCACTTAGTGAGAACCTATCTGAAAACAAAACAAAAGGAGAGGTGTAATTCAAGTGGGAGGATGTCTGCACAGCACCAGAAGAAAAAAAAAAAGCAGTAAACAGGGTCAGGAAGCAGCTGTTAGAAAAGTTCTATTCAATAAATGTGAGAATTTGTGCCTCACTGGAACTTTTTAGTATAATGACATTGGTAAACTGCAGTGAGTCCCTTGGTTTTTTTCTATACATAGTCTCCATGACTGATCACCCTGTAATAGAAAAAGTTAGGACTGGTAGAGTGGCTCAAGTGGTAGAGTACCTTTAGCAAGCATGAGTCCCTGAGTTCAAGTTCCAACCCCAGTACCTCAAAAAAGGAAGAAAGGAAGGAAGGAAGGAAGGAAGGAAGGAAGGAAGGAAGGAAGGGAGGGAGGAAGTAGGGAAGGAAGAACGGAAAGAAGGAAGGGGAAAAAAAGAAAAAAAACACCTTACCCTAAATAATACTGCCCATTCAAGCTGTGAATCCCTAACTGGAGTCACTACCACCTCTGACATTCCTTTACCATACAAAAACAACTAAAGAACAATTATGCTTATTGCTTTTATAATTCTTTCTCTGATAAGGCTGAGGCAGAAAGATCACATATTTAAGGTAAGCCTGGGTCTCAAAGGAACAAAAAAAGGAGGATATGGAAGAGAAGGAAGAGGACGACAAGCTGGGGATACAGCTCAGTGGTACAGTACTTGCCTAGCAGGCAAAGCCCTGGATTTGATACCCAACAACACACACACACACACGAAATGATTTAAAAGATTCCATTAGATTTAGTAACAAAGAGATGAATGATAACTGCCATGCCATATTCAGTGACTGCAAAGGATGGCCAGACTTCAAAATATTGAAAAAAGAGCAGTAATGAAGTAACAAATTTAAAGCAAATAATTATAGACAAAGCTGAAGAGCTTTAAGTTTAAGTTACTGTGGCAGAGTGGTTCAAGTGGTAGAGTGCCTTCCTACCAATCTTGAAGCCCTGAGTTCAAACCCCAGTGCCACCAAAAGAAAAAGACAGTTTAAGTCCTCATACTTAGTACCTATTGAGACTGAAAGTGGGATAACTGAGTATTAAGAACTGAATTGTTCCCCTAAAACTCACATGTTGAAAGCCCTAACCAAAGTACTCTTGGCATTTAGACATAAGAATTTTAAAGAGGTGATTAAGATAAAAGAAGGCAGGTCATTAGGATGAGGCACTAATCCAACATATGAAAAAGAGACACCGGGAATGCATGTACACAAAGTGATGACGATGTGAAAAGGCAGCAAGAAAGCAGCCATCTGCAAGCTAAGGATGGAAGCTTTCACAGGAAACCAAAGATATCTACACAGCCATCTTGAACACCCAGTCTCCAACACTAAATTTCTGTTTAAGCCACCTAGCCTGAGGTGTTTTGTTATGGTAGCCCTCGCAAACTAATACCCAGAAGAAATAATGCCCCCAGAAGATAAAATTCAAGAGCACAAATAAAGATGGACAGACAGAGGCAGAAATGTTTGAAGGAGACAGAGAACAGATAGCAACAAAGTTTCTCCCCAGTGTATTTCACTTTCTCTGGGAAGTAGAAGGGAACATTATTATGTAGTAGAATGAGATACCCAGGTGTGGTGGTGACTCCTGTAGCCCCAGCTACTTGGGAAATTGAAGCAGAAGGACTGCTTCAGCTCTTGAGTTTGGGGCCAGTCTAGGCAACACAGTTAAGACCCCCTCCCCTTTAAAAAGTGTATGAAGGAAAGGTCATGGGTTGACAGACAAAATGGGAAATAAAAGAAGTTACTAGGAACACAGAGGCTTGTTGGGTGGCATATCTAATAGTACTCAATAAATAGTCATTGCTGAATACTAGCTGTTGTTCATGAATGTTTTGCTTCAGTTTTAATATAATGCACTGTGGCAGTGACCTGCAAAAGAAAAACATTGGTGCAGGGCATAGTGGCTCACACCTGAAATCTCAGCTATCTGGGAGGCAGAAACGGGAAGACCAAGGTCTGAAGCCAAGTGGGGGCAAAAAGCACAAAACTATTATCTGAAAATATAACTAAATAAAACAAAACAGGGTTGGAGATGTGGCTCAAGTGGTGAAGCCTTTGCCTAACAAGTGCAAGGCCTTGAGTTCAAAACCCCAGTACCACCAAAAAACGAAAAACAAAAATAAACAAAAAAAGCAACACACTGGAATAATTTAGACTTGGATTATGAATCTAGATACGGGGATCTCATGAAAGTCACCTTTTCTGCGTCTCAGTTTCTTCAACTAGATGAAGCTAACTTGGTAATGAATATAAGAGCACTTCAGAATGAAGAAAGTGATTGCATAATTTTCACAAAGGCTGTGCATGACTGTGGTGTTTTTCAACTTTTACTGACCAAAGAATTGTTATATCAAACTAATGAGCATTCCTATCATGTGGCTACTATCTGGCCACCACCTGGAAAACTTGCTAAAACGCAGATTCTGATTCAGTAGCTTTTGAGTTGAGCTTACATTTTTAGGTGATGTCATATATCTTATTTTGAGTGGCAAGGGTGGAGAACACTAATCCACCTTAAGCGCTACGAAGTTTATAATTGTGAGTTTACTTGTAATCTGTCACATATTTAGAAAATCAAACAAAGATACTCCAGAAGCACATCTGCACTACATGTGTCTGGCCATCCCGAAACACACTATGAAATTACCTGACAATACTCATTAGATACAAATAAAGAACAGGAAAAGGACTGGGGTCAGTAGTAGAGTATTTGTCTAGTATGCACAAAGTCCTGCCTGGGTTCTATCCCAGCACTGAAGAAAAAAAATTACCATCAATAACACTAAATTAGAAAACATGAGATTAAATATATACACAAATGTATGCATGGAAAACAAAGTCAAAACCCAATTAATCAAATATATTATCCTTCCCAAAATATGGGTACTTCTATTTCTGGAAAAAAACTTCAGGATATTTTAAATGCCACATGTCTACAGGGATTATTTCACATTCTGGCTTAATTCTGAATGAAAATATATCTGTAATATGGTTTTTCTACTAATTACCAAATAATCTTTACATACTTGTTTAGAATTTCTAATAGTGCTACTACAACCAAATTCATTTGTGGTGAGAATTCTCTTTGACTTTAGAAAGGACAACCAAGGCAGAGAACACCCTCCTACCCTGTGGTTGTAACATGCCACAAACCACTGCCCTGTGCAAGACCAGCAAAAACAAACAAACAAACAAACTAATTTCCCAATATCTTCCTCAGTGAAAGGATATGTCATACAATGTATGTCTCATACAGTTGAGTCACTCTGCCCTTAACATGAAGTTTCTGTACTGAGCAGAGAAGTTTAAAACACATAAAAATAGAGGAAGGAAATTTCTATCTACGGGGGCTAGTGAAGGTAAATTATGTCTGCAAACTGCTCTTTCTTACTCCCTTCTCAACAACAGCCTAATGGCACCGGAGCTTCCGCACTATAACTGAGCTCGTTTAAATTGCAGAGGGAGAAGGTACGTCAATTACAACCTTGGCACCAAGTAGGCAGTTCACGGGTCTCGGCTACTTATTTACTCAAATCACTTTGATTCACCAACATGTCACAAAAGAATTAAGAAAAATGACAAATACAATGGCCTCAAAGTCATTCTGCTGAATCACAAACATCCCCAAATGTAAAGCTGCAGGACTCGCTAAGCTTGAGCACTGGCGGCCATACCTCAGCATGAATCTCCTCTCCGAAAATACCCAAGTTCCTTCACTTTTTCATCAAAGGCAAGGAAAGATCTAATGTTTAAAGCTCCCACAGTACTGTACTGTATGTGCAATAACGGTATACACTTGTTTTTATACGAAAGAGAATCTCGTTCTCTCAAAATTTGCACCACCTATCACCCAAGGGCAAATACACCAGTCCGGCCAGCGACCGGAGCTCCAATGGGTATCCTCGGCGCTGTTCAGCCTGGCACAAAATTCCTACCAACCAGCACCTTTGATTCCTCCACAAGCATGTTTCCCGCTGCAGGCTGACCCACCCTCCCCGGGATCCCTAGGGTTACACAGAGACCCAAGACGGCAGGCCGCTCTCGCCTCGCTAAGGCTATCAACGTAACCGCACGTTTCTCCCTTGCCTCACGGGTCCAAGCTGCCCAACCTACTCCTCCCTTCCTCTTGAGGGCTCAGCGGCTCTCTGGCCGGGCCTCACCATTCACTCCAGTCCGGAATAGCCCGTTGCTCGCGTTTCCACTTTTCAACACAAAGTGGCGTCGGCTAACCCCGCACCCCACGCCGACAGTTCACACGCTGCTGCCTACTGATGCCAAAACCCAACTGTAGGTGCACCATGTTCCGCGTCACAGCTCCAAACGACGCGGACGCGCGAATATTGCGTCACAGACTCCCAGGGTTCTTAGAATAGGCAAATGAAGAAGGCGATAGGCTAACCTCGGGAAGAGAGGAGGGGGCTTCCTGTTCGAAGCCTAAGGGCCGAGTATGTAAATCAACTGTGTACGCTTGCGTAGTGTATAAAGTCAGGGGCCGGGACTAGCGAGATCTGTAACCATGGAAACCATAGCCGCAAAGTACCAGCCCCGGGAAAATCAATCGTCTCCTGGGCTGATTGACGCTGAAGTCCGAACCTATTTATCCTCATTATTCTAGATTCTAACTGCTCGTTTTGTGGGTTTGTCACAGCAGAGTTATTAAAAGAACCCCATCAGTCAACCCCTGCACCATGAGTATTTTTTTAACTTCTTGAACTTGCTGGGTACGCTACTCCAGAGCAATAAATAGCAAGGATGGAAAGCGTTTAAAGGACCAGTTCTGTGCCTCTGCACTAGCTAGCTTCGTTACCTAAGTTTTATTTTTTAAAACAGAGTTTGTGAGGAAAACTAGCTGTGCTCATAAAGATGAGTAACCATTTATTGCTCATTCAGATTGTGCCAGATACTGTTTAAGATCTTTGCATTGAGGACTGGGGAAATGTCTCATTGGTAGAGCGCTTGCCTAACATGTGCAAGGCCCTGTGATCTCCAGCATGGTGCGGGAGAAAGGCCGGCACCGTAATCTTTACATTGAATCAACTATTTTAATGCTTAGAACAGCCCTATGAGGTAGGTGCTTCATCATGCCCATTTTACAGATGAAGAAACTGAAGCACAGTGAAGTCATAGACTGCCTAAAATTCAACAGCTAGTAAATGGCAGTGTTAATATTTAAATCAAACAATAGTAAGACTTTCATTACAAAGATGTTCATAGCACAAGTCCTGTTTTTTAAAGGAAAGAGATTTTTTAAAATTTACCCAAATGGCCACCAGACAGGAATGATTAAATCATGGCACATTCATTTAAAATAGAGTGCAGCTGGCACTGGTGGCTAACGACTGTAATCCTAGCTAGTCAGGAGGCAAAATCAGGAGGATCACAGTTTGAAGCCAGCATGGGAAATAGTGAGACCCTATCTGGAAAAAAAAAATCACAAAAAAGAGCTGGTGGAGTGGCTCTTGGTGTAGGCCCTGGGTTCAAACCCCTGTACCACAAAAAAAGAGAGTAAAATAAAGTGCAAAATGGACATTTAAAATTATGTTGAAGTGCATTTGTGGACATATTAAAACATTTGTGATACACTGTGAAAAGACTAGATTACAAAACAATATGTTCAGTAAGGTCCCCTTTTTGGAGATAAATAAATGCTAAATTAATGACTGGGTTTGTTACTAGTTGGATAGTATTGTGACCATGCTTCATTTTCTTTTTGCTTAACTCCATTTTCAGTTTTTATTGAGAGATACTTTATCTCAAATTTTAAGTATGCCAGTTCATACTTAAAAATTGTGTTAAGGTGATGAGTAACAAAGATGTAGGAAATATTTAATGTCAGAAAGAATTAACTAATTTAAAATAGAATGAAGAAATGGTTTATACAGATGTGGTGGCTGTAAGCCTGTAATGTAGCACTGGGAAGATGGAGGAAGGAGAATTGCAAGTTCAAGGACAGCCTGTGCTACATAGTGAGTTCCAAGCAAGCCTGACCTACATAATGAGACCTTGTCACAAAAACATTAATAAAATTTTTTTAAATAAAGAAATTTGTTTAGGAAACTAGCTTTCTTCTATTTGGGATAATGGATCCTTTGAAAATATAAGGAAATCTCTAACTTAGAAAATGAACATGTTCCTATTTTGATTATAATTGTAGGATCCCAAATTAGAGGAGGTCTTCCATTTGGAGGTCCTAACTTTAGCTCCTATGAGTGTAAAATCTAGTCACATACTATGCAAAAAACAAATAAGTGCAGATGGATTAATAATTTCATATTCATTTCATCACTATACTTTCATATTCTCAAGTTTAGGGGAAAGACAAGTATTTAAATTAACTCATCATGGGTCTATTCAATATACATCTGAAATCTTAATAGAAAGTCAATGTTTTTCCCCACATATCATTTACAACTGCAAAGGAAAAGCAGAAAGTCAACGAAACAAATGTTAAATTAAGGAAACATTGGTTTCCCTTACTTGTCAGTCTCAAATCAGCTCAGTAACAATGCTACTAATTTTATCTTAATAATTATATAACTAACTTCTAATAAATAATTATGTGTCAGTTATTGTTCTGTTTTTTTAAAGTATCTGGCATTGAACTTGCGGCATTCTATGTAATTTATTTTATAACTCTTTACTACCCCCCACCCAACATAGGAAGATTTTGCTGTGGGACCAATGTAATCACAAGGGTTTTTGCAAGGGAGTTTTTAATACATTAATTTTTATTAGGATGTATTCATTGTACGGGGAGGATTCATTGTGACAATTCCACATAGGCTTATATTGTACATTGGTTGTATTGCCCCCCCACCATCTCTTCCGTTGCAAGGGAGTTTTTATCAGGAATGTCAAAGAAGTGACCATCAAGAGCCAGGAATTTTGGCAACCTATAGGAACTAGAAAAATCAAGGAAAAAGATTCTCTCCTACAGCGTTTAGAAGAAACTGAACCCTACAGTCAATTTTAGAATTTGTCTTCAGAAAGCTAAGATAATAAATTCAAGTTGTTTTAAACCTTTTAGCTTATTAGAGAAGAAATAGAAAACTAATGTATGCTAGAGGCATAGGCTTGCTAACATGCTGCACTTCATTTATTATTGCAACTTGTGTAAAATTAGGTCTTGAACAATTTAAATTGCAATATAACGCATCAGATATTTATAAATTAGCTCACTATATGTTATAATATACCAGATTAGGAAATTAATTCTTTGCAAAATAATTTCATCTCTTTTCAGATATAAAGTATAACACATTCATTTTGTTCAAAAAACAAAACTTGAAACAATGTAAGTGTCTTTTGTGTGAGTTGATTATGATGTAGTCATATAATGGAATATTATCTGTCTGTTAAAGATGGTGACATAGACTACGTCAGATACAGTGGTTCACATTTGTAATCCCAGCTACATGGGAGGCAGAAATCAGGAGGATCAGGGTTTGAGGCCAGCCCAGGCAAAAAGAAAACTTGGATCCTAACATAGATTGCTACACAAAATAGTAGAGAAGAAGGAGAATTCCTCTCCAGCAGAGCTGTAAGGAAAAAAAGAAACAGAAAGCCTTGGGGAGCTCCAAAGGTACACAAGATGGCTCTCTGTTAAAAAAAAATATATATATATATGTATATTTATATAGTTTTAAGACAAGAGTTCTGCATCCTGTGCAGCAAGCAAATGCTAGAGAATGAACTCCCTGCAATTTCTAGTGTACTCACTAATGCCAAGGAGGGGAATGATAATAGAAGAGGTCTTACAGTCAAACCTGTCAGCCAGGGAGAGAAGATCCTGCATTTTTTAAACCTCCAAAGCCCAAAGGCCTCTCTCTTCCCCTCCACTGGCCAAGCAAATGACTACTCTGAGAATCAGTGTAGACCCTGGAAACTGGTCATGACTTGAACTCAGATTCAAGTCAGATCTACTTGGGTGGAAATTTCAAGCCATGCAAAGAGGAAATGAGGGAAAATACATTGAGGAACTTCAGCCTGAACTCTGGAAAGAGGAGACAGATGATCTGTGTGTGAAAACAAGCAGTGGTGCTAGGGCAGAGAACTCAATGACCAGGACACATAGGATCAATCAGAGCCCAACCAGTGCAGACTGCTTTGGTCTGATTGCTTTGTACACTATCAGAGTGCCAGAGTGATTGGTGGAAAGCAGTTGCTGCTTGCAATTTTCCCTGCCAAACTGGCACAGGCATAGAGCCTGTGGTGCTAGAAGGTATCCAAGTGTGTGTGTGTGGGGGGGTGCGGTGGAGAGAAGTCTTCAGCCTGAGCTAGCAGGAGCAGTTTCATTGTAAATTCTTTACTACCTGCATTAGTTGGCCTGCATAAGGGAAAATACTGACAGGAATTCTACCCAGTAGGGAAGGACAGGATGCAGCCTGCAAACAGCCCTTTCTGGTCTAACTTGTTTGATCTTCAGATAGAAAATCAGCTAATCCACACACCAAATAACCTGCCCAAGAAAATCCTGGGGCAAAAAAAAAAAAGCCTTCTTCTTATCAGCCAGGAAGAAATATTGACTTTTTTTTTTTCCATTGGTTTGTCTTTCTTTGTACTGATTTTATTGTGTTCTCTCTCACTATTTTTTTACTATTATTTCTTACAATTTCATCCATATATTATTTTTCTCTTTCCTATCTTGCATCTCTATTTTTACTCTACCATACACCATTTTATTACTTTATTATTTTTTATAGTACTGGGGCTTGAACTCAGGGCCTACACCTTGAGCCACTCTGCCAGCACTTTTTTATGTTGGGTATTTTTGAGACAGGGTCTTGCAAACTATTTGCCTGGGCTGGCTTCAAACCATAATCCCCCTGATCTCTGCCTCCTGAGTAGCTAGGATTACAGGCATGAGCTACCAGCAGCTGGCTTACTTTAGTTATTAATACCTTTAGCTCTAATAATTTTTAAACTCCTACTTTATCCTATATGTACTTAGTTCTTTTCTTTCTAACATTATTGGGGGTTTAACTGATGTTTTAAATTGTTTTTTTAAACTGTATTTAAATATCTGGTTTGTTTTTGTTACTGCTGCTGACTTTCTCTCTTCTGAGTGATATTTGGGATTATGACCTCAAGAGAAGGTTGTTGACTAAGATGATCCCCTCAACAAAAACAGAGTTACCCATTCAAACAGATTTGTAAATCACAACATAGAAACATAACAAATATTAGAAAGCAAGTTAATATGACATCTCCAAAATCTCATGAGTCTTCAGTAACTGAATCGAAAGATGCTGAAATGGTTGAAATGCCAGAAAAAGAATACGAAAGTCTTTTTTAAAATGA